GAGAAATACCAACTGATCATCTAGAAGATTTTTTGTTGAAGCACATGAAATATTAAAATTTGCAGTTTTAATAGAACAAAAAAAAAGAACGAACTTTAAAATTACTTTAGATTCAATATTAGCTTAATTCTAAACTTCCCAATCTGGCACCATACAAGAGCAACTTTCCCCAAAACTATATTAAGGGCGATTCAGGTTCTGCAAGGATGTATTTTTATGCTTTTTCTTTTACAGTATTTTCAAATGACGTATTCTACTATAAGAAATAAAATACAGAGTTATAACTAATTATTTGCCTTTGCTTCTACAGGATTTGCACAGTATCACCAGGATGAAGTTCACATGTTTTTGCTAGAATCCACCAAGAACTGGCACAGGAAAGTTAGCTTGCCTTACTTGGATACTTTCATGTTACCCAGTTATAACAACATATTATCTCAAAGTCTGAAGACTGGGATACCTGCCATATGATAGGATTGTGCAGTCCATTGTAATTAAAACTGGTCCAATTACAGCAACATTCTTTAGCAGTGAACCATACCTGATTTTCGTTTTCTTTCCCTTGATCGTGAACGTGATCTTGAATAATGATGTTTTGAGGTTCTAGGAGAATTAGATGCGTCTGACTGTTCCTTTTTCTTCTCTCTCTCTGGAGATGACTTTTCTGCAGCTATTCCATCTCGTTCAGTATCACTACCCTAGATGGGCAGAAGAAAATATTATAAACTTTAAGTAGAGAAATCTCTTTGGTTCTGAAAGAATCATGTGCAGTGCTAACACTGAAGAATGATTTCTTCACAGAGTCATAGAAGTTGGGTCGGAAGGGACCTTGTAGATCTTCAAGTCCGACCCCCTGCCTGGGCAGGAACAAAACTGGGCTCAAATGACCCCAGCCAGGTAGGCATTTCTTTTCACCATAAAACTCTTTTAATGACTAAACAAATATCTTTTTAAAAATAGAATATTTTAGGATATTTAAAAATTGTATTAAGGTAACAATATGAATAGAATTTTGCCTCTGACATTTGTATGCTAATTATATAGTGAAAGACTAGCTTATCAAGAGCTGTTACAGACTAGCACCCAGAACAGAATTAATAGCTTCACCCCAAACCAGCTCATCTGTAAAAAAAAAAACAAAACACAAAACTCGTTTGTAAAAGCAGAATTTACCATTTTCAGGTTTTTGAGGGTTTTTTTTTTTTTTAATTTCAGTTATAAAAATGCAGTGTGAAGCAAAGTCTACCATGCCAACTTTATGGACTTTTTTCCAAATCGTGTCTATGTATTCAAATACTATTTATGTAAGTTCATATTTCAAAAGTTACTGCTCATGGATAATGCTGTCCACACATGGCAGCCTAAATGACATTACAGATTAGGGTATTACAGCTAGGACACGGCTGTACATCAATGTTCAATTAATGGTGAGATAGGAATCAAGCACACAGTTATTACACGTTTTTTGTGCGATAACTTTGTGGCTTATTCTTTGTTTTATGACACTTAATTGCTGAGGGCTCTCAGCCACTGAAGTGCATGGTGTACCTCTGCAGCTGGGAGCCCAGATCAGCTGATAAGACTCCCAGCCAGGGGAGCAGGGGGATCACAATCCCAGGCTCCCTCTGCACCAACAGTAAGGCATGATGGGGTCAGAGGCGGGACTTCAGCATCATGCCTCCTGCCATGTACCTGTGGCATGGCAAGAAGCATGATTGTGGGGATCTTGCATCAGATCCTATTGTGCCTTTACTTGCACAACTGCCAGGGGTCTTAAAGTCCTCCAAGCTGTCCTACTATAACTGTCAATCTTACAGCAGCATTATTAAAATGTAATTGTTAAGAAATATAAGTTAGCAAGAATATTACAGTTGAGATCTAGAAGCACTGTCTCAATGATCACCTTAATAAATCTGATAAGACTGCAAGGCCACACTTTCCCTCATCCTCTCTTAATTTTATTGTTAATCCCACAAACACATCCTGGTGGTATAAAAAAAAAAATCAAACAGCTCTCTTCTCACAGTTGACCATCATGTAAAACACATTTTATAATGACAGATTATGCTGTTATTGACCCTTTGCAATATCACTGGTTTCTGTGGCTTTGAATGGATGAACTGAGAGCATACGCAAAACCAAAGACAAATGAGTTAGTTGCATGTTTCATTAAAGGGCATAATTTGGCTTGCAAAATATGTTACTCATGAAAGGGAGAATAATTAGACTGAGCACAGAGGGAGTTAGAAAAAACATTTTTAACTTGCAAACTGAGAAAACAGACATGGAAATCAATAAGATGATGAATAAAGCACATCAGTTGGGTTTTTTTAAGGTTTCAATCTCTGGATAGAAAAATATTTTTAAGAAGGGTTAGCTGTTCGGACTAACCATTAGAAATGTTATTATTTTGGGTACATGATGGGTTTTCTAGGATAGTCCTGTAACTACAGCCATTTCTCCTAATATTCACATTTCACTTGCTAATATTCATTCCACCCAGGCTGCTAATTTTTTTGTACCACTTTTCCTTCCATAGTGGATGCTCGACACAATTCTAGTAACTAGGCCTGAAGTGAGAAGTAAGGCAAAGGGGGTCATTATTTTTATACCATCATGGTAACAGTAATACCAAGCTCTTAACACAGAACTTATGGTAACCATGATGTAGATTCTGTGCTTGCAACATACTGGTGGTAATTGTTCTTTTTTGTACAGGGATGCAAACATACAGAAATCATATATACAAAACTATTAACAAGAAATGCCATCTAGGTATTGTCTACACTAGGGGCAGGCAATTATTTTGGGCGGAGGGCCACTTACTGAGTTTTGGCAAGCCACCGAGGGCTGCATGATAGGCAGCCAGGGGCAGAAAAATATTAATTTTCTAAATTTTTTAGGGGCCCCGTGGGCTGGCCCCCAAGCCACATTTTGCCCACCCCTGGTCTACACATTATTGAAGTGATATACTGCGTGATATCTCTCTATAGTTATAGCTCTATAGCCGAGTGTCCCAGATAAGTGACAGAAATCAGAACTAAAAGTGAGCGGTCCCAACATTTATCATCCTACCAGTCCCAATTATCCTTGACATCCCACAACTCCAAAGTTAATTTCTCCACTTCATTCTTATCCCTCCCTCCTACCTCTATTGCCAAGACACCAGTCATGCGAGATGTTTCAACACAGGTACACATGGTTTCAAAGGGAATTTTAGATCCCATTTCTTTAAGATGGGAGGTGATTTAAGATCCCATTTCCTTCAGATAGGAGGGGGAAAGGGCTGAAACCCAGGTGGTTTTAATTAGCTGTCTTTTTTGGTATCAATAAGCAATGGCCAGTAGAAAGTGAACGTGCTGGACCAACTTCCAACTCATTACAGCCTTACTACGACACCATCCCTCATTACTATCTAGCCAGGCTGCAACAAAGACTCTTCTATACTACGCAGAAAGGTTCAAACCCAGAAACAAAACACATACCTACTTATAACTACACACAATGAAGGCAAATAAATGGGACTATTCACAATAGGCAAGGTATGTGCCAAGACCAGGGTTGAATTGCAAGAGTCCTCCACCTATTATCAAGGAACACAATTCGCTCTGGGTCAGTCATCAAGTCATTTACTGGGTCAGACCCTGGGTCCGTGTTGCCCAGTGTCCTGTCGCGCAGCAGGTGCCATCTGGGGGGCTCTGCTCGCTGTCCCCCCTCGCGGACCATCACTCCCACCCCCATTTTGCCTGTCCTTTGCCTCAATAAATCAGCTCTTTCCTCAGCGGACTCCCTTCCTAAGGGAGCTTACAGGTGTTCGTGGTGGACAGCAGCCAAATAACAAACAGGCCTGTGTCTCAGGGTGGCTGCTAAAAAAGGAGAGTGAACCCAGTCTAACCACAGGCTTTCCGCACTTCCCCCGCTCTCCCTTGCGGCCTCCAACACTCAAGGAATAGGAAATTGCAATTTGGAGACCGTGCCCGTTCCCCGTGCGCTCCCAGACACCAACACCCCTGTCCTCCAGGAGCGTGCCCACCCTTTTTGACTCCAGCGACACCATTGCACCTGGGAGCGACTGGTCCCACAGTCCGCTTCCACCTCCCTAGCGTCAGTTTTAAACTTACTGCCGACTCCTCTCAGGTCGCGAGCGAGGGGGCTGCCCTCGTCCAGTTTTTGGCGAGCGCGTTTCCTTTGGGGCACCCGGCGGCCCCTTCCCCAGGTCTCCGCTCGGAAACGGCTTTGCTTTTTGAAAAGGGACAATTACAAGAGCGATGCAACGGGGCGCGCTGCCCTTTGTCCGAGCTCTGCTGGAAGGTTGCCTCGGTCCGCCAGCGCCTGCTTTCAATGGGGAACTGGGGTTGGGGAAAAACGTCTCCCTCCCCGCTGAGCGGTGCAGGGGAGTCTCCCCCCATGGAGAAGCGGGCTGGGAGGGCACGAGAGGGGGGCCCCCCCCGCTCTTCTCCCGGGACAGAAACTTCTGGAACAGGGCCGCGGGGAGCGGGGCGGAGCGGCC